TTATTTCTTGTAATTATTTTGAGAGGTATTAAAGCCATGAGCTTTAACTCGATATTTTGATGTACGTGTATTTCATTTCCAGTACTATTGTCTTGTCTACCCCATACTAGCAGTGAAAGAACCGCCTGTCCAGTGTGAGTTCTGTGGTTGGCCCTCTCAATTGCGATAATCAGGCCTTACTCTGTGACACTGTACAAAATTAGCGACTTTCATCGTTTGAAATTTTAAACAATCACCAAAATGTAATATTGCATCGCTACGGTGGACCATAAACACAAATTCGGCAATAGTATACGATTGATTCAGCAATGTTATACGATGGCCAGGGATGTATGCGACTTGTTCCGTTAATTTCATTATTCTAGCCATATACACACAATGTATCATATTTATAATCACACTGTGTTTTATTTATTTCAAGAAACTTTATTTAACTTTAATAAAACCACTATTACATATAAGAAAGCAAACTATTTTGAAATAACTCCCATATGTTTGAAATTCAACAGAATCCCACATTCACATCGTCTTGTGCATATACCACAACTTCTCCGACATATTTTACCCATGTATGACGGGTTTACGTCACATTGCCCAATTCTGGCCCAGTGTGAACATAAACGATTACGATCTGAACAATCTGATAAAGAAAACAGAATGATTATAGAATAAGTTGCGAAACTGAATGAAAGACGGTTTGAGGACGTAATGCTCAGTAGAAGCTGGAGTTAACATTCCCAATAAGGCACGCCATCTACGGTGGAGAAACAATTAGTTGACGTAATGCACTTGTATCTGTATTGTTATCGTACCTTCACTTGGATATTGATGCCATGCAATAATGTAAAATAACAAAATAACCGTTTTTTTAAAACAATAATTTGTAAAAATGGAATGTTTTTAGACATACACATGGGGTACATCGATTAACACGATTATGATTATTTCGGCCTCATCGCTGACATTGAGGCTCTAAACAATACGAATCACACGAAAATAACAGAAACTATTTTATCAGAATAGACGTTTTAATTTTTGCCTTCCGTTCAATGACCGGGGTCGCCTATCGTCTGTCCGCCATCATTAATCTCAACAACCATGGCCCAGGGCATGATTGTCATGCTTACCCATGCAATCTCCATCGTGATTGGTTTATCACAATCATGATGTGTCTGGCTGTCTCGTCATTCCTCATATAACATATAGAACATGTCTCATTAATTATCATTTACAGGCAGCATCCAAGCGAGTAATTATGTTCACCCATCTACGTCATATAAACGTTTCGCCGCTAGAGGGCGCGACTTATGATATTAACCGTTTCTTACCGTCACAAAGGCCACACGATTGACGACAGTAACGCCACATAAATGTTGGATTACTCCAACACTGACTAAAACTTGACCAGTAGGCACAATCCGGATAAAAGTCGACACAACCTAAAGAGAGAAGCAGAATTTATACATCATGTATAATACATCGTTTCTATTGTATTAAAAGGTGCAGCTAAACATACATGTATCCTCGGGGCGGACATCCGGGCATTTTCTACCGCCTGACAACCCTCGCGGTGAAAACAAAGATCAAAAACTCGCATAAAACGGTACTTTGCGATGGTTGTTGAGAGTCCCCTGAACAGTGTAACAAGATTAGCCCTACGTGTGTAACATATATGAATTTGGTTGTTCAGGATTACTTCAAAGTTGAGTTTGTGTTGTTTTCTCGAGTTTTCACCGGCTCCACCGGCGTTCCACAGCAGTGCGCACAAAGCCCATAGAAATAATTGGTACAGTGGTGCGCGTCTTAGCAACGTAGAACGTCCGTGACGTAGCTCCGCCCCGAGGATAGCTAACATCGGATATAAAATATACATAACTACTGCCCTCATATGGTGTATTCTAGAAACGTCATCAAACAAACAATAGATAATGATTTTTTATACAAGGGACGGGACTAGACATATGTTGTATTTTAGTGTGCGCTGAGATTTGAATGCATATGCCCTGCTATGGTAACTGGATACCAGACGTCAATATCGTGGATTAGTCAGTCTTCCGGCATAGACTATACATCTCTGCTGACTGTTATTAAGATGTCTGATTCTCGCAGACATTGAATTACTCTAATACATAACGTGATATGGTCATGGGGCCACACATGTTGCTTGGTTACCGTTAGTAGGTCATAGAGAAATTAGCACCAATTTTATTTTCAACCAGAAGAAACAGTATCCCGATTTGTGATTTCTCAAACAGACTAAAATTGCAGCGCGCCCTCTCTTGTCTCGCCCACGCCTGACAACATTTTGTGCAACTATTTTTTTTTCAAATTGATGATTACAATCGCTTCCTTCCTTCCTTTAGCGGGTAAAGTGGAATTTCACTTTTAGAAATTTAACATTATGAGATAAGTCGTCTAAATGTGTAGTCAAAATTTACAGTTCACCGACGCGACTTGTAATGTCATTTCAGCCACACTAAATTGTTCAGTAGATTAAATGGTATTCCAACAGATCTCTTACAACTAATATTAGTTGCCTGAAGACGGATGTCACAGTTTGTGCTCAGACAGTGCTCTATAAATTAAAACGTATGTCAGTTATATGGCGCACAGTCAACACAAACTGTAATATAAATATAAATGATGTCACATTTCCACCATAGGTTAGGTAGAACTGTACCGGGACTTTACAATGTTTTACGTAAAGTATTCATTGCAATGCTAGCTTTCCCAGAATGCAACATACCTCCTACCGATGTACACATTTCACAACTCTCTTTACATTCATTCAACATCATAGTGGGATTGCTCTCACACCCTCCAGCTTCGGCCCAAATAGGACATTCTGGGTGGTCGTCAACGCAATCTGAAATATTGAAACATAATATAACTTGTAGCCAAAAAAACTGCAATACATTGTTTTCACAAGCTATATTTGCGTAAGGACTGCGGTCTATTGACTAAGCTGCTGACGTTGATAAGATCAATGTAATAATGTTTAAAATAAGTAATGCAGACATTCTTTTCATTATCTGTCTGTCTGTCTGTCTGTCTGTCTGTCTGTCTGTCTGTCTGTAACCTCAACTTTTGTGTGGGTGAGGGGTGATACGTGAGGAATCATTGCCACGAAAAAGACTACATTCTTTAACGTCGCTGTGGCTTACCTGTTTGGCCTTGTTGATGTTCTAATTTGTTACTTAATTTGATGGTATTTGAAACTTCTTTGAAAGTATCTGTAAAGATTACAGAAGAAATGAAAATATCAGTCGTTCACACAGTATAAAGTCCACATTTTGATTGGAATTTGTATTGAGGTTAACAACCAGGTTGGTGGCACATTTTTGGAATTTTGTTTTTAAATAAAATTCGAAATTTTAACATAAGCTGGGAAGCCGCATGAATTCTTAGCTGCGTATATTTAGAATTATATATTTTTACATTATCATTATTATTAGTAGTAGTAGTATTAGTATTATTATTAGTAGTATTATTATTACAGCTAGTTCTTATCTGTTTGTTTCTTGTGTTCATTAGAGAAAACCAGCGTAAAAATCATAGAGTGGTGGAGTTTTAACCCATATCGGAAGTAACTGTTACGTTGGTGTGAACATTCGAATCCCAAATTTTGAGTGACATTGGTTGAACCGAATTCACTGTTCCCATAATCTGCAATAGTTGTTCGAACTATTTGCGAATGTTCCGAGTGTTATACAGACCTATTGTTAAACTCTGCTATATAAGATTTGAAGATCAAGAAAAAAGGTGTAATGTAAACTAATCGTATTCGGTACTTATCTTACTTTCAAACTTATTTATATATTCACTAAATTTAGGAATCCTAGTGTAAAAGACAACATAAACATATCCGAATGCGAAAGAGAAAAGTGATCATCGTTTAACGAATTTATAAGATACTATATTTCATACAAACAAATAACAGACAGCATGGGAGCACAATTTGCTCACAGTGGAATTCCAATAATTTATTGAAAAAAATATGCCCTCCACTTGTCAAATATGTGCCCAAGCAAATAGTGTATTATACCACCGTCCCGTGTTGAGGGACGGTGATTATACGGATAATGTTATCTTCGCGTCAGAAATGAGTAGAATCGTAACCTAATGCTACATATTCATAACGACGAGAACCGTGTATAATGAAAAAGATAATAATATCGCCCGGACAGGAAGACATTTGCCTTGAACATTCTCTATGCACAGTATGTTATGAGATCTTTTCATTCAAAGTTGGCTGCAAATCAAAGTATAATGTCTAATCCTAGCGTATGAAAGGGGGGCATTACAAACAATGAGTGAAAACGCTTACAGAAACGGGAATAATAATACATAAAAACAATAGCGTTGATGTTGATAAAAATAAGCCACGTTAAATCCATTTAGTTAGATATTTCCGAAGCTACCGATTCGACTAAAAGCGTCGCGCCGCGCATGTGCGAAATTTGTGTTGATAAACATTGATTTTCCCACAATACAATGCGCTCTTCTAATAGAAATCACAAGTATGAGGTTTGACCTGGCCGCGACTTGAACTAATTACCGCCGGTGACTCCTTCAATACGTTCCAATCATCTAAAAAGTAGCTAATTAAAGCTTGGTAACGTCTCAGTTTGTACTCGTTGATCTGCGCAACAGTCAAAGTCGCCATCTTTGTTTATATGAGATACAAATATTACGCGCATGCATGGCGCGACGATTACCGCGCTTTAATTACCAAATGTTAATTTACAAATGCATTAACCTGCCTATCCACAAATTTAAATGGTAGAATGGTAGAGTAGAGATAGTGTTTTTAACAGCGAATATCCGTCATATGGGATGTTACTTCAGATTTTTGCTAGGGGTCATCCTTTTTTTGTATATTATATAACATTCCTTGAAACATTTGGCTATTTTGAATAGTTACCTAGGACAACGATTTCCAAATATTCTCTACTACATTCATATATGGGAATGCCTCAACTTCTCATGTCTTTGTATGTATGCTGATGATTCGAAATTATTTCATGTTTGTCATATGACAGATTGTAAAGAGAAGCAATGTGACATGGAAGTTTGTATGTGTGTATTTCATTCACAATAAACCCCAATTTCAATATGTCCACATATTAACTGGTAACCCAATAATATTAAGGCCAATCTTTCACTTATTTGTTTTTTTATTTTTCTTGTAAATTGCTTTCATAATATTTTGTTTATCTGTGATTCATCATGTATAATGTATTTCCATTGAGTTGCATGTTGCTAGTTGCTAGCTTTACTCTGACCCATTCACATATATAACCGCTGTTTATTCCCACATGTCTACGTATATTAAGTTGCATTAAATTGCTTCCTGTCTCGGGTATAACATAGAATACATTCGCGTCGCTGACATCCTTTTATCGTAGTATGCTTTTTCTGCTTTTTAAAGATTAAATACGCTCAGTTAATTCTACTGTTATGGGAAATCATCGAATTTTGTTTCGCACCTTATTGAAATGTGTGGCACATAACCACCTGGGTTTATTATAGAATCATTTTTGTATATTATAAAATAATTTCTGCACTTTATAGAACTAATTACAACATTGAAGTTTAATACCAAAAATACTTTTATAAATACTCGACACCACCTAAAATACACTATGTATAAATGAGAACAGCAGTTATTACATTGTGTGAGTTTGTGCAGCGGCATGGCCTGTTTTAATGTATGTGTGATTAATGAGCGCTTCGAGGATTGAAGTAAAACGTCTGCCTTGCCAATCCATTCATTTAAAATTAATTTGTTTGAAACTGGCTTTTACTTATAAAAATAAATATGTTGATTTAGTGTATACTTTATAATCACTTCTTAGTATCACAGAATATTCGTGCGTAAGCTTCATGAGTTCGAAGCAAGTGTTTGTATGCTAATTACAGTACTCATTCCGCCCAACCTCCCGCTTTTATCGCTTTTTTTCCGACCGCTTATCGCTTAATTTCCGACCGCTCGCTGCTTTACGACCGGAAACCGACCGCTTTTTTTCCGCTCGCTCGCGTTCGCTTTTGTTCGCTCGCTCGCTCGCTTTTGTTCGCTCGCTCGCTCCTGCTATGACTGGCTTCAGAAACACCGTCCGCTTGCCAACCGACCGCTGGAGTAACAATGATCGTACATTGTATGTATAAACTTAAGTTTTTATTCGTAATAAATTTAGGTTTTAATGACGATTCAAAATACAACGCCTATTGCTTCTCTGTTTTGGAAAAAAGACGCCTTCAAATCACTTGACACATTGTAACGTTTGCTACGCAAGTCGAACTGTGACCTGTATTTACATATTTACGTCCTTGTGTGTGTAGTTCAAGCAGCTATATGACTGGTCAATCGCGATATGTATTGAGTACTAGTA